CCGCAGGGGCTCACATGGCTCCAGAGAAGGAAGCAAATACTTTGATGTAAACATGGACAAAGGACCTGGACAGTTTCCCACAACGGAAAAGCAAACAGCAGGTCCATAAGAAGGCCCTCAGCGCACCACGCACCCGAGAAGTCAGAAGCACAGTGAGCCCTCACCTCACGCCTGTGAGAGTGGTTGTCACCAGAGGACAAGACGCAAGTGTGGGCAGGGCAGGAAGCCTGGCCTGGACAGCACGGATGGTGAGCTTCCAACCGGCACAGCCGGTACCAGAAAGCGCCAGGAAGATGCCTCTAAAAACTAAAAATGTAATCGTAAGCGGCCCAGCAAGCCCCCCTCGGAGCCCACACCCGGGAGTGGAGTCAGGTGCCGGCCTGCCTGTGCTCGCTGTGTCATTCAGGACAGCCCTGGCGTGGGCAGACCCCAGGGCCCACCCATGGGGGCGCAGAAGGGAAATGTGGCGTGTGTATGCAACAGAACACTACTTGGCCATGAAAAGGAGGGTGTGAGACCGAATGGCATGCTGACCAGCTTGCCTGAGGTGCTCGTTTCACACTGCACGCCGCCAAAGACTGCACCATGCCCTCTCTGCCCACAGTTTCCTTTGTCAGTTTTTCCTCAGTGGATCTGGGAAAGCCCAAAACTCTCATACTCTCCTTTGGGTTTGGTTTTCATCTTTCTTTCTTTCTTTTTGTATTTTAGGGAAAGAGTGTATAGGGTGTTCAGGGTCTCACTACTAGATTGGACTTGTAGTGATCCGCCTGTTCACAGAACTCCCAAGAGCTGGGATCACAGGCGCACGCCACCACACCCAGTCTCAATTGCCATCTCAGCGAGCCTCAGGGGTGTGAGCCCTGGGGGTGGGGCTGGCATGGCCCGGGGATTGAACCCTGGCCCCTGCGCCACTTGCAGATGCTTTAATCTGCTGAGCTATTTGGCCAGTCCTTGTATTTTATTTTATTTATTTATTTTTGTGGTTTTCATTTTTCTAGCTGTATTTCTGTAGCTTTTCTTTTGGCTTTGAGCTTTCCAGCTTTAACTGTGTTTGTGCGAAGCGTTTCCCTCCTGACAGTTGCAACCCCCTCCCAACTAAGTGCTGCTCCCTTCACGCAGGGAGTGGGGCAGTGCAGCCTGCAGGCTCTGTGCCCTCCTGTCCCACCCCCGGGCCCACAGTGGTCACTGGCTTGCAGCATCCCGGGCCGCTCTCCCTGCTGCCCTGCCCTATACACCCAGGCTTGCAAGTGACAGAGCCCAGCCGGGATCAGAGGAGATGGGGCTTGAGCTCTGCGCTAGGTGTGTGACCTGGGGCGCCCTGAACCTCCAAACTGTCTGCTCATCTGCAGAACAGCCAAGACATGCAAGGTCTGCACTGGATTCTCCACCCTTTCACCCCTCTGTCTTCTCCGCTGAGCTTCTGCTGTGGTCTAAGAGCCCCAGATGAAAGAGGCTATCTTGGACTTGAGTATCCGGGCCTTGAATAAGGACCCCATGTTGGCAAAGTAAGTTTTCAGGGATGATGAGACCAAGGCTTAACGAAATGAAGCGGACTGCCAAGATCAGGACTAGAACCAGGATGCCATCCTTCTTGGCGAGACAAAGAACAAGGTCCTGGGGCTGCTGCTCGGCATCCGGGCTTTTTCCCCTCTGCGACATTCAGGAGAGAAAAAACCTAGACGCATCCTTTCCCAAGGAGATCAGGTTTCCTTGGGTGTTGCTTCCTCCCCTTTCCTGCCCTTCCTCGCCCGTGAATGGAGCTTCTCTTCCGGCTCACACCTGAGTGCTCCCCTATCCTCAAACCAGTGGCAGCCTGGTACTAAGTGGCCACGCAGCGTGGCTTAGTAAGCACTTGGTGCTTAGATCACCGGAACATGCCTATGAGTGTCACCTGGAGCAGAGGCTGACATGGCAGATGCTCCGCAGGAATGGGGTGCGCTGGGGCTTGGGCTGGCCGTGCACCCTGCGGGGACCTGCCAGAGCCGCCGCCGCTGCTCCGAAGGGCCCTCCTTCTGCCTCTGCCCCTAGGTTTCTGGAGGGCATGCCCATGCTGGGGCTGCGCAGTTGTCTGCAGCTCTCTGTCAGCCCTGCTGTCCCTTCCACCACTCAGGGGACAGACAGGCGCAGCTGTCCTGCCCTTTACACCCCACCAGAAGAGTTTCCCTTGGGGCCAGGGAGACAGCTTGGGCATCTGCCTGGCAAGCGCAAGTTCCTGAGTTCACTCTCCAGTACAAAAAAAAAAAAAAGAAGAAAGAAAGTTTACCTTGCAGTCAACAAAGGGCTGCCAGGCCCCAGGAACTAACATCTGCAAGTTCCCCCTTCCTGAGAGCAAGCGTGCCTGGTAGGCTCTCTGTAGGGCAAGGTCCCCCCAGAGGACCCCAGTGAGGGGTTAGGAAAGAGGCCCAGCCCTAGCCTGGCCTTGCTTGGGGGACGCTTCATTGTTGTAGGGCTTCCCTCCAGGCCTCTGGAGTGTGGAGCCCACATCCCTAGACCAGAACCTGGACCAGCACCATGCAGTGCCTAGGGACCTGCTTACAGTCGCTGAGGAAAAGCAGCTCTTCTCTTCGCTGCTTTGCAGGGTGGTATGGAAGATTGGAGAGTGCAGGGGCCAGGGCAAAGGCGACCTCAACGCTGCAGGGAAGGCCCAGCCTGGCCTGTGGCCACAGCTTAGAAAGTGATCTAAGGTTGGGGAGGAGCCAGCTGGGGGGGCACAGTCTCCCTGCATCTTCAACGCACAGGGCCCAGGAGGTGCTTGGGGTGCCAGAGGACCACAGCCCTGACATCCAACCTGGGGGTCAGGGCTGGGCTGGGGCAAAGGACCCTAGGGCAAGCCTGCAGGTGCCACCCACTCCCCACTCAGGGCTGGTGGCCAGGGTGGAAGCCAGAGGGGGCATATCCTACAGCTCTGCCTGCACAAACTGCAGGCTCCCCACCCCATATTCTAACTGGAAACGGACTCCAGTGGCTTAAAATATTGCAACGTCGATAGGACTAATTAATTGGAAATAAGAAACGAAAGAATACAATTAAACGAGAAGAGAATCATTTTCTAATTTAATAGAGGGACATTTATAAAGATCACAAGCTAAAAGGCATCGAATGATTCTATCGACATTGTATTAAATCAGCACTGGCCCGGGTGGGCAGGAGGACCCCACGAGACTGGAGGATCATCTAGCCCCGTCCCATCCGCACCAGGATGCAGCCCCCATCCCTGCACTGGTGCCTGTCCTGCCCCTGTCCTGCTGGGTGGGATAGGTTCTGAGTGGACTGCAGAGTCGGGAGCTCCTGCCTCCGCAGTCCCAGGGCACAGATATATTACAACCAAATTACTAATTGCAAAATGAAATTGTCAATAAAGCTTCCCCCTTGCATATACAATATCCTTAAATATTAAGATATTTTATTAGACCCATTTCCTAACAATAATTTATTGCAATAAAACAGACACTGCAGGTCCCCTGAAATTGTCTTTTCATAATGAATAAATTCAAGTGGGCTAATTAATATATAAACTAGCCCGATTTGTCAAGTTGATTTGTATTTTAGTTAATTGTGAAAGTAATTACCACATGGTCAAATTAACAGCTTTCTGGAAATGACCAAGCCTGAGGTTTTATTTCCTTCCTGGGTGAAGAAAATTCATTTTTCCAAGCTCTTGATGTGATGAATAAAAGTCATAAATCTGGGTGATTGGTGCAGGCAGAGTCTAAATGGCTTCATATTTCATTTTAGGTTTAATAGAAATATTCATGCTCTGTTTTAATGAAATTAAATTGAAGGGGGATGGGGCAGGAGGCGGTGGTGGCTGGGGGCTTAAAGGGACCGCATGGATTTCCCTCCCACCCGGGCCAGGGCACCGAGGGCAACGATGTCTGCGACTGATCTGCTCCACCCTCGGGGTGCTGCCCATGCCTCGTGCAGCAGGGACACCACCTGGAACCCGGCCCAGGTGCTCCGTGCCAGGTCCCCAGCCCATGCCATGCCCTCCAGGATGCCCGGAGCAGTGGTCCTATAGGGAGCCCTGGGTGGGGGGGTGGGATGGTCCCGCGCTGCATTGGAGTTCCTGTTGTCACTCTCCTGGCCCCTGGGTCTAGGGTCCTGCCTTGGAGCCTCCTGAGGACTGGAGGAGGTCTGTGAGCACCGGTGTTGCTCCCTGGACCCCTGCACCCTCCCTCTCCTCCTAAGGTCTGCGACATCCCCAGGGCCAACATCACCCTCCACTCTCCAACAGTAGAGCCCCCTGACTCCAGCTAGACCAGGCACTGAGGCTTCTCTGGGGATTGAGCAGGAAAGCGCCCCTAGACCTGGCCTGCTGGGTCCTCCTGTGTCAAGTCTCAAGTTTAGGGGCCCAGCTGTTGCCTCCCTGGCTCCAGGGTGGACCTGGCCAGGCCAGCCCCTTAATGAAGCTGATCTGTGACTTGTTGATTTCCCCAGAGCAAATCAGGGTTTGATGCAGTTCAGCAGGAGTGGTGAGCTGATGAATTGACAAAAACTAATCAGCTTTATTGGGAAACAGGTTAAGGGCGCGGGTGAGCCAGTCACCCCCAGCCTGACCCCCGCGTCCATTAGCTGAGCGAGTGGCTGATTGGAGTGGGGAGGCCGCCGCATGCGCTCTGAAATTGCTTTCATAAACTAACCATTATCAGTAGTCTATGCGGGTGGCTAATTTAGAGAACACATCCCAGCTCGGCACATCTGTCATTCAGGTTTATGTATCATTATCTCATTTACAGAATGTCGCAGTGTAATATGTGTTTTTGGCAATAGACCTGGCCCCGCGCCCGGGCCCCACCACTCTTTTTACAGACATGGCAGGGACCCTCTACTAGCCGCTGGCCTCCCTTCCGCTCTGCGGGGCCTAGAATCGCATGGATCGGAGGTCTGGAGCCCCTTGTGTGCATGTGCGAGGACACACACGTGCACACACTCTTGTACATGCATGTGCCTGCCTCTTGAGGTACTCACATGGGCACGCGCAAATGTGTTCACACCCACAGGGCGGAACCCCAGCAGCCTGGGTCTCTCCCTCGAGCCCGCCGGCTGGGAGCTGGAAGGGAGCTCTGGGTCCTGCACCCACGCGGCGCCCACGTGCCCCAAGCGTAGCCTTGAGAGTGCAAACTGCTCTCCCCAGCCCAAAGAGCGGAGAGCGGAGTTTGCCACACCATCCATGCCCCCAAGGTGACCTATTCCCTCCGGGTTACACCCACAGCCTGACCTTCCAGTCCCGGGACGGGTTTGCCTCCCCCCCCCCCCTGCGGCTCGGGCACAGATGCGCCACCCGGAGAGGCCACCTGTTCGGTGGGTAATTATTTTAATGTAAGGGGACCAGAGTCACCAGGTTCGCGCCTCCTGCGGTGACAGAAGGCTGCAGGGCTGCAAGGGCTCCTAGCCTTTCAAAGGAATTTCCCAGATGGGCCGGGGAGGCTGGGGCGGGCACCAGGGGCCCTTTAACGAGTTCATTAGCCTAATGACCTCCCACGGCCAGGGCGGAGCAAACCCCCCCCCTCCGGGCTGGGCTCCGCAGGAGCTGGGAGCAAAAGGTTCCCCGTGTGGAAGGCGGTGCGGCTCTGGAGAAAGTGACCGGAACCGTGACCGGAGGCAGCGACTGTGGCTTCGAGCCAGGACGCTGCTGCCCCTGTACGGCTCCGGGAGCGACGTGGAGCCTGCGGGTTCTGCGCTGGGCCGATGCCCGGTGCGCTGCCACAGGTGTGTGAGGGGCACCGGAGGACACCGTGGGAGTACCACCAAACGCGGACGCTCGGAGCCTCCGGGCGGATTCGGGAAGGGCCGGGGTTCTTCTTAGACATGCCCACTGGCTGCGACCCTGGCTCCCCGGGCCTCCCAGGCCTCTTAGGCAATTCCGGACACCCGTTCTGGTGCGGGTAGCAGAAGGCCCTTGGCTGGGCCCCTCTACCCCGCACAGGGCAGCACCAAGCAGAAAAGCCGAGGCGACAGGGAGCCGGTGGAAAAAGGCTGCTGGAGAAGGAACGGGGCATCCTGGCCCTGCGGGCAGGAGACTCTGCCTGGGATCCAAGCCTTGGCCACGCACACCCTGTGCCCGCGGGGCCCTCCGCACATCCCCAGGGTCTCTCTCTTCCTCGCTCGCTCGCTGCCTCCTCCCTTCCTCCTTCCCTGCCGCCAGCCGCCGCAGCTTCTGCCGCCTCAGCAACTCCTAAATAGACCAATTATCCGGGACTTCCTGCCATTATCTGACTCGGATTTGGACATTAGCGTGCTACTATTCGGCCATAATTTCGAGTCAGAATGCACTAAAAAATTCACTCACCGGAGCGTTACACTGTTCCTGGGCAACACCTGCCCCTCTAGGAGGCTCTTCCCTGCAGCTTCACTCTCGCCCAGGGGCCAGCCAGGCCTCCCGGGGTCCTGCACCCCCGCAGCCCGCGGTCTGCTGATCTGTTGTGCGCTTGTGCGTGTTGGTCCTGGGTGGTGGAGTGCCCTGCGATGGGCCCTTCTCCTCCTGCCTGGTGGTCAGCAGATGGGTGGGTCAGGAAGGGGTGCACACTTGGGACAATTCCTAAGAGCCTTTTCAAACCAAGTCCTCAGTTACTAAACACGGCTTACGCAGGAGCCGGGAGCTGGGCACCACTGTTTTCCTCTTCAAAAGCAGGCCCTCACCAGCCAGACCCCAGGTGCTGGCACCCTTTGAAGGAAATGGGTGACAAGGTGTCACATTCTGATGCTCACATTGAGCACTAGCTGACCACTCAGCTCTCGCCCTGTGAGCCTACAATAAAATAAAAACCCTGCTACAAAAACACAGGGTTCCAAGGAGTCTTTCCTTTCCGCTGACAGCGTGGTACCCCAACAGGATTAAGGGTGCTCAGGTGGCCCCCCAACCCCATTTCTTTCTGTTCTAGACCCAGAGCTTCAAGTCTGCGAAACAAGCCAGAAACACTTGGGATTCTGGGTGAGAAGGAGCAGGCAGGGAAGCCGGAAGCTGCCTGCGCTGTGCATAAAGCAGACTGCTGCATGCTTGCAGAAATTTCCCAGAGGAGGAGACCAGGGTCCGCCTGGCTGGGCACATTTGTCCGAAGCAAATGCTCCCTAAACTTCATCAAGCCCACTGGGCTGGCTGCTTGGTGTGAAAGTCGGAAGAAAACAGCCAGGACATCCTAGGGCTCAGCACAGCGTCCCCAGGAAGGGGATTCAGGGATCAGGGCCACAGGAAAGCCAGCTGTGCAGGGAGAGAGAGACAGGGGAAAGGACTGAGCTGTGGCAGAAGCGGCCCTTCTCGGGGTGGGGGGTGGGGGGTGCAAGCCTGTGGTTCCTGAGCCTCCCCCCACACTCTTTGAAAGGCTGTCTGTAGGGCCAGGGAGGAGGTCACAGATCAAAGGATGGCGCTAAGGACTGGTGCCTCTGGCCCTGTCCCTGCAGGGCCAGGGTGAGTGGGGAGAACCCACGGATCGGATCGAGCTGCCACAGCTCACCTTGCAGTGACTCCAGCTGTGGTGCTCCCCCAGGCCCTGTGGCAGCAGCTAAGGAAGATGGGAGGCCTCCCTGGGGCTGGTCCAGCACTCACCCCCCTCCTCCTGCCCCACTGCCTCTCCAACAAGTCCCACTGCCACTGGAGGGCTTAAACTGAAAGGGAAGTGAGTTACATCCCAGGAGCTGCACAGGACAGGCCCTCTTGGCAGGAGGTGGCTCAGGTCTTCAGCCAGGGAAAGGTGGCAAGTGTAGGGAGGGACCAAGGAGTGGGGCCCTCTTCCCTTTCTCAGCAGTGCAGGCTCTCCTTGCACCTTCCAGGTTTCACCAAAGGGAATCAATGTGTAAATGACAGTGAAGGGACTCCCCATTTCCCAACTGGACCATGTGAATATCTAGGTTTGGTTCCAAATCCCTGAAGCATCTTGACTTTGTGTCTAAACCCAGAGGTCAACAGATGTGCATTACCACTTCCTCTGTTGCAGCCATCTGTATAAACTGGCAGCTCCCTCCTACGGAGCAGCAGGAGGTGAGGCTACCCTGTCTTGGGTCCCCACGCTTGAGAAAGGAACCTAGAGCCCGAGGGAGGGTGGTGAGGGAGGGAGGAAGCCACTCTCCACAAGCTGTGGAGAGGAACTGATCTGTGATCTCTCCAACGGGCCTTTCCAAAGCCCCAAGAGAGCACCACTCCTTGTCACTGCAGGTAGTTTGTTAGCTTCACACCTTGTACATGACAACGCAAAGATCCTGAACTTCCAACAGCTCCCTCTCCAGCCACTTCCTCACGCAATCCAGGAAGCCCCTCCACTTCCAGTTCTGAGTCTCATGCAGGAGCAATGTCTGACCACTTCTGGACCCTCTCTGATCCAGCTTGTTTGGCTTCTATTTTCCAGACAGGGGCACAAACCCTGAGGTCAGAGGTCGCAGGCAAGCCCTGTCCTGCAGCACAGGGCTCCAGAGGAGGGTGCGGGTCAGAGTTGGGTTCCCACCCTGGGAACTGGCAGAAGGGGTGGTGGTGAGCCACTGTGGAGCATGGTTATTGCAGAAAGGGGGCAATGTATTCTCTGAGTCTTACGGGAACAGAGGGCAATTCTGCAGAGGAAGCAAAACCCACCTGCACCCTCAGAACACCTGGTCACAGATTGGACAGACAGGAGGGCAGATTCTGGGGGTCCATCTTGGGATTGGGCTCTGCATCCACTCCCCCCTCTGCTTCAGAATCCTTTTCCTGGGGACCTTTCCCTGGGGTGGGGAAGGAGGGTTCTGAAGGAGGTGGGCGCTTGGCAGCCCACTACCCGGCAGCACAGGACAGCTCTTGGCTTCCCGTCCAGAGGCTCAGCCTCCTCTGCTGGGCATCATGGGGGGAGGAGGAGGGGTGGTGTGGTTCCAACAGTAAAATTTGTCCCAACCCAACTCAGAGGTGTCCCTGTGTGGAGGCTGCATCTTAGCCCTGGAACCTGAATCCTAGAAGATGCAGACCATGATGATCAGAGAAAATGATTGTGGACTGGGTGGTACACACCTGCAATCCCAGCATTTAGGAAACAGGCAGGAGGATCACAGATACTTGGGGGCCAGCCTGGACTACATCGTGAGACCTTGTACCAAAAGACAACAACCAAGAACAAAAAAGAAAAGAAAGCAGGGCACAGAGGAAGTGTTGAGGACATGTGGTGTCCCCTGTCCCCTTCAGAGGCAGCATCTAAAGATAGGACACAGACTTTGTAATATGCACTAGAATTTCTATGATCTTGCCATGGCTTTTGCAAAGTTCTGGGACATCTATTGCTGAAGCTGTTGTTAACCTCCTGACCTTCTAAACTGCCTCCCGCTGCAGAACCAACTTCCCTCTGTCACAGGAGAAAGCAACGCTCCTCCTGTCGGTAAAGCCGGGGTCCCAGCTCTGACACCCCCTTTTGGTCCTTCCTGCAGCTGCCCCACCTGTGGCGGCTAAGGTCCAGGACGCTGGTCTTCCTCACCCCATCCTTGAGACCCTCTCCTGCCCAGGAAGCCCACACCCCTACCCGTTTGGGACGCTCACTCTAGGGGGTTGCTGACACAACTTGGTGCGCGCGTGGGGGGGGGGTGCTCGCTTTCCGACCGCCCTGCGTGTTCTTTCTGCTTCGAGAAGCCCTTGGAAGTGCTCATGCTGTAAATACCTGGCGTGTGTGAAGGGTGTCTGGAATCTTCCCCACCAAGCTCAACCTCGGGAAGCCCTTCCCCTGATTCCCCACACTGCTAGGCAGTCTGGAAGCCTGGCTTTACCGCTCTCTGTCGGGATGAGTGGGCCATCGCCTTCTGCCCAAAGGCCACCTCTGCAGGGAGGAAGGGCCTCGCCCACCCGCGGGACAAGCTTGGTGGCACCGGGGCAGTCTTTGAGCTGCTGTGGGCCCCGCGGGCTCAAACGAGCAGCCTCTGCGCTCCTTCCCTTGCTCGGAGGCCGGGAAAGAGGCTCCTCGAGATGATCCTTGGACGCCAAGCTCGAGCTCCCACGCACGTTTACACACCACACACACACACACACACACACACACACACACACGGCGCATGCAACTTTCCAGCCAGGTGTGCAGGCGCGACCTCCACGGGCTGGCGACAGGGGCAGCGCCCGGGTGCACCCTAAAAATTTGGGAGCGCGAGGGCGGGACTACCCAGCTCCCCGAAATACGAGTGGACAAACTCAGAGGCCCGACTCTGGGGAATTCAGCCGGAGCCCGCCCGCGTGTCTGGAGCTGGACTCGGACGTGCAGGGACCCACGGGCGCTGGATGCGTCTCCATACCCAGGCCCCGACCCCCTGCAGCTGGCACCGAGCGCCCGCGGGTGTTTAGGACCTCGCGGCGCAGGGGCGGGGCGGCGGGTGGACCGGTGACAGGTGCGGCCCTCCGCCAATCGCGGGCCCCGC